CGAAGGAGAATCGCGAATGAGTGATAAAAACTGAAAATTTTCCATATAAAATTCCATATAAAAAAATATGAAAAGAATAAATGGAAAATTTGAAGTGACAAGTTTCTATAAAGGACTTCATTTTGAATAAATTGATATTGAAAATATTATATGCTATATAAAAATATATATATATAGAAATAGCTTAGTTGTTCGATTATGCTTTGAAATTTCTCAGCTTTTTTTTTTTTCGTAGTTAAAGACGTAGATGAGGTAACATTCGATCAGAGATTAATTCTCTCGAGGTTTTTGCTAACTATACTTCAATATGTACACCGTTTCGAAATACGTACAAGCATATGCTTTTACGAGCTTGGATAAATTAATTTCGATCTAATCTTCTTATTGAAATTTCATGTAACTCTAATACTCTAGTACCTTTATTATTGCTACGATACGATACAGAATATTTAGAAAGGAATTTTTAAACAAATCATGATTCGCGATTGAATACCAATTGTTCCATGTGTCAATTTAAAAAAAAAAATTGTAACTCTTATATTGACTTTTGAAAATGATAATTATCGTTCATTATCTTTCCAATAATAACATTATTCTGAAAATCATAATTCTTGTTTTGAATAATTATCATCTATGCAAGTCAAATATTTTCTCACACGTTTTGATGATAAATTTATTACATATAATATATATTTATATTCAACGTATAAAATGTGCAATATAATTTCTTGATATCATTATTATTCACCAATAATAATAAATTAAACGCAAACACCCAGATATAATTTTAATTTCCATTTTTAAACTTTATTATTTGGAATAATGAAACGTTTGAAAATATCCGATTATAGACATATTTTGGGAAAGACAAATTTCCAGAGAATATATTTCCATCTAAACGTCCATAAGAATGTATTTTGCTGGAAATATAATAATAAAAAAATAGATGGTCGATCGTTGTAATAAATTGGCGAAAATGTCGATAAAACAAATTTATCAGCGTGACTCTTTTCAAATGTCCCTAATTTTTCTTTTCCTCGTGCATTTTCGAAAATTTATCGTTTTATGAACGAAGATTCATCTTTACTCTTCGTATATTCCATTTCCGATTTATTTTTACCTCGAATAAAAAATTTCAAACTCTTTTACAGGAGGAACGACTCGTACTTTTCGAAAAGAAAGAATGCTATTACCATCTGTTGATATTACATATAATCCTTTATATTTTCCTCAAAATTTCTTGTTTAATTTATCTTTATCTCGAATAAAAAAAAAAAAAA